CTCGTTTTTGTTTTCTTTTTGCAGTGGATGGAGAAAAGCCCCCGCCCGGCGTTTAAAAATTGGAAGCGGGTAAGCCTTGCGGCCGACCAAAATCAGACCAGAAGCAGGCCGAGCCCAAAACGAAGCAAACTGGCAAGCTTCTCGACATTGAGAGGACTCCGCGGCCCTCTGTTCTAATATCAGAACCGCGACGCCGCACCGCGTCCGCCCTGTGTCTAGATTCCTCCACAGTCTAGGCGCAGCCATCTGTCTGCGAATGATTCTAATAGCTACGCTCTAGCTACGTGGTGAAGGATGTAGCCTCGCGCAAGGCTTCGGCGGCGGCCTCTTGCGAGCCTGCCGGAGGCTTTGCGAGGCGGCTCCAGCGGGCCCTGCCCCAGCCTCCCAGGCTTTCCGAGGGGCTTGGAGAAGACTCAGCCACGAGCCTCGACCGGGCTGCCGCAGGCAAAGCGCTGGGGGCGGGCCGAGTGGGGGCCCGCGGCCCCGAAGCAGTCCGGCGCCTATTAAGGTTTTTTCTATGTTCTTGCGGCAGTTTGGTGCCGTCTCGAAGTGTCTCCAAAAGGACAGGCGGACAAGTCTCAGATTGATCAAATTCGCACAATTTCGACCCCTCACCGACGAGACCCCCAGCGGCTTCATTTCGTTGGGGAGATGGGCCCCCTGCTCTTCCCCGGATGAGCGAAACAAAAAGCGACCTCGGCCGCGTGTGGATTCTAGTCGCGAGGGCTTCCCGACTCCGAGGGGGCTCCCCGTCTTGAGGCGGTCCCGAGCTCGGCGGGAGCTTTCTGAAAGACAAAGACGGGGAGCGCACTGCACTCGCCTCACAACCCACCGCAAGCCACCGCGCGGCGCCCTCGAATCTCAGGAGCGAACCAAGCACGAAGGAGACCGAGCGGGACACACTACGCACGCAGTGCAGCCCGCCACCAGCCACCGAGGCGCGCCCTCGAGTCTCCTGGAAGAGAGGAAAACGAGAGGGAAACAAAAGAGAAGACAAAGGCAACACAGGCGGGACCGTGTCGACCGGGTCACCACTGGAGAACCACGCGCAGCCAACGCCGCAGCATCGTCATGCCATCCCGCATTTTTCCTCTCTGGTTTCTCTCCCCGCTTCTCGCTCCTCGAGATTCGAGGGCGCGCCGCGGTGGCTGCTGGCATCGGGCTCCCTGCGGTTCAGAAGACCCAAGGAAAAGAAAAGGGAAGAGCAGAGAAGACGCACAAGCGGCGCGCCGCAGCCTGCCCCGTTTGGGTTCCACGCTCAGCGGAAGCCCCAAGCCTGGCCCGAGTTTCAGCCCTGCCTCGAGCTCCAGGCGTGCTTAGGACTCGCCTGCTTGGTTTGAGGTCGGGCGGGCTTCCGGCGGGCGGGTTTGGTCGGCTTGCGCTTGGTTTTTGAATGCGCTCGGCCTGCGTTTCCGCTTGGTGTGGGTTTGGGTTTGGGTTTGGTTTGGGTTTGGCTGGCGTTTGGTTTGCGCGTGGGCGTGGTTTGGGTTTGGTTTGAGTTTGGCCCGGGCTTGGTTTGAGTTTCGGCCCGGCCTGCGTTTGGTTCGTGTTTGGCACGAGGTTGGTCGAGGTTTGGTCTGTGTTTGGCCTGCGTTTCGGTTCATATTCCAAAACGCACGCCCAAGCTAAGAAATCACGCACGTAACCAGTAAAGAGGAAAACGAGCGCGAACGCTTTAGACCTTGAGGCTATGCACTAAGTCGAAACGCTAGCAGAATTATCACGGAGCGGATCGCTTTACCCATGAACAGAGCCCGCAGGATTTGGGAAACCTCGGAAGCGATGGGAGGCCTTTAGTCGGATGCCAGTGGCTTGGTTCCTTTTTTCGTGGTATTTAAGGCCTCGCGAAACTCTTAAGCGAAACCGTTAAGGGACAGTGGCACTTCTGGGCCGTTTTCGATATTTTGCCACTTTTCTTCACAGTTTGGCACGCCAGTCCCTAGACCGCGAGGCCAGTCCGTCTCCCTCCTCTTCCCATTTCCTTATCGGTTTCGCCTCTGTCTTTCCGGGCTCTGTTCAGATGCTTCCGCCATTCTCTTATCGGTTTCGCCGCTCGCTCGGCGTGCCCGACTCCTCTGCAATCCCTCCGGCTACCGATACAAACCGAATGAGACGACAGGCGACACCGTGAGACATGGGCTCGCCCTCCTTTTTAAGAGTCCGGAGCACCATTACAGGCAAAGGCTAGCCCTGTACGCATGTAGCTCTCAGAAGTGCGCCCGGTATAGGTAGCACACGCACACGAAGAGAGCCGAGGGGATAACTTCAACCGCGAACGTCTTTCGTTAAGGCCGCAGAAGCTTGGCAAGACGGGGCTGGCGCATCGGCCGCCAGCGGGGCGATAGGGCACGCCTTAGCTCTTCAGTTACACGGGCGACGGTTTGTCTGACGAATTCCCCCGACTCCCGTTGTACCCCGCGCCCCCCGCCCCCCCTGTACAAGGTTACACAGTTGGGCACAGTCCGAAAGCGAACTCTTTGGCGCAGGCTCGTTATAGGGACCCACAGTCGCGCAAACATTCAGCCTTGTACAAGGGGGGCGGGGGGCGAGATGGTCACGCATTACGCGCCGCGCTGGTGGGCGCGTGGTGTGCGCCGCATAATCCAGCACGAACAGCCCAGCAAGGCAGCCCTCGGCCCCCTCGTCCCACGGCCGCCAGAGAGACGGCGCGCCACGGCGCAGAGATTAGGCGGCCCACGGCTGCCAGAGGGACGGCGCGCCACGGCGCAGAGATTAGGCACGCGGCAAGAGCACACGAGGGGAGCGCATGGGAAGACGTAGAACACAAGAGCAGCCAGGCCAGACGAACACAGAGCGACCAAACTGGAACAAAAACGAGCCAGGCCAGGGGGGCGCAAGACGGCGGCGACCTCTCTCGCGTATCTCGCGAAGTGAACGAAGTAGAAGCAGGCGGATGATGGAGGCGCGCGCGGTTTTAGGTTATTTTTTTTCAATGAGAAGCGCACCAACGTGCTCGCCCAGACAGCCCCACGAGAAGCACTTATCGCAGAACTCGAGGAGCATGCCCAAGCCCCCGCGGCGAGTTCGATTCCCGCACGGCGCAAACTTGGTGCGCAGTTTTTCACCTTATTTCCAAACATTCACACAAAAACCATCCCAACACTCAGAGAAATGATCTGAAATACCCAGCGAATACCCCCGAACATTCTCGAAATGTTCCCAAATATTCGCAAAGTATTCGAATGCTCTCAAATACTAAGAAAACAAAAAAGAAAAAGGCCGCCGCAGCATCTCCGGCAAAAATCGCCGGAGAGGTTTCCAAGGTCTCCTTATCGGTTTGGCTTCGTCGTATTCTGTCTTTGAGGAGATTGGCTACAAACAAGAGGCCCCGTCGCTCTCCACGTGGCGGAATCTCGATAAAGCCTCGCGCTGAGGCTTGCGGCACGCCGTGACGTTTTTCGTTGCAAATACGAAAAAATCCACACCATATAAGAACGAAAAACGCGCGAAAGCTTTCGCGAAAAATCTGCCAGGTTGTTGGCCGTCTTCCGAGCCCCTTAGCCGTTTTGAATTCCCGGAATGTCCCGCCTTAATGGTTTCGACTTTCGCGCAGGTATCGGCTTGGAGGGGGTCGATTTTCTTTTTTTTTTTGGTTGGGGGGTCGCTACACAGTGAAAAAAAATCACATTAGAGGGGATCTCCTTCACTGACGTCATTCCTTTACTTTGGAGTAGGTGGCGAGAAAGATGCAAAATCGTCGAGCTTGTTGCTTTTTTTCCCAAGTCAGCACCGGCAAAAATTCAATAGCGTGCCGATTTTGATACCCGAGGGACGGGGATCCAGCAGCAGCCCAAAGAAGATCAAGGAGAGAAGTTTTGTCTGTGTCAAAAAGGTCTATTTCTAGTAGGAACCGATAACCCGGAACAGCTTGAAAAAGCAAAGAACTTTGACAATTTCGGTTGGATCTTCAATGCACATTGAGGGCATTACATTTGTGAACTTGAACAAGCAAAGCAGCTGTTGACCTGCTACATGATAAAAGAAAATCTTTGAACAGCCACACTAGGGCCATTGGATGGCGAGAGAAGCACGATTTTGAGCCCGTTTGGGCAGTTGAAGCCCAAAGTGGCACTTTTCACACAAGAAGTAACTCAACAACTCGAATCCAAAAGCATGGGCGTTCTTCACGTTACGCCGGTGCTCTCCCTCCGGCATGCTAGGGGCAGCGTGCTCGAGATCCGATCATGGCACCCCTGACGTTTACACGAACCTGCACCAACTCGAAGCCGATTCAACTCGACTAAATCAACTCGATACAACTCGTTTTTTTCGTTTTTCGCTACTCGATTTACGACCTCAACTCGACTACTACTCGCTTATATTCGACCCGAATCAATCTACGCGTTTAGATATTTCAACTTACTCGACTCGACCCGAACCCGCACATTTTTCGGCTTAGAGACCCCTTGGGGGGGGCCGGTTTCAACTCGAATATCTATATTTCCGGCCTATAAATTCCTCTTTGGTGAAGAGGAAGGTCGACCACCACTCGCGCATCCCATATGATATCCGCGCAATTGCGGTGCCCCGGGGGGACGGGGTTGGCAGCCGCGTTTTATGGCTGTATATTTTCGCATCTACTCGTGGTAGTGTAGTATAGTCCTAGTAAGTTCGAAGTGCTCCATCGTGTTATGGGTGCAGTAGAACGGTTTCCTCTCATAGTTTTGCCGGTAGCATAATAGTTTTTTTCAAGGCAGTACTTTTGCAAAAAGTATCTTTCTCCTCCCCTCTGTGGTGGATTGACACACTCGACTGCCGCATAAAGCAGTGGATTTTCGTGGCGCGGACGGCTTGGCGGGCAAGTTACGGCTCTTATTGGCGGCAGTCCTCAAGTGCACGATGAATAGGCACGATTTTGCTTAGGTTTTTTCAAGGTGTTCCTGACGCGGGGGGGGGGCGTCTCAAGGGCAGTGTTACAACACCAAACTCCGCATTTCTAGTTTTAAAAATAAAGAATCTAGTGCTGACCGAGGGGGGGGCATAATGAAGGAATTCTTCTGGCGCATTCTCCTGTACGGCGCATCAGGATTTCAAGGGCCTAGTGTTGTCCGGCAGAGCGTTAGCATGGCGTTTGGAGTTGCGGCCAGGAATTTTTGCAGGCGGTGGGAGAAGAAGCGACCACTATAAGGTCGCTCGTTTCTGTGTAGTCGTGTAAATCATATGATGTCTACAGCTAGCTTGATGTAATTTCGCTCATTTTGTTATCGTGAGCTCACAACGCTGGCCCCAAAAGTAGACGCTGATAGTCCCCTGCTCTTGATTAATGGCCCGCTTGTCATGATTTTGCTAAAAATAAATTTCGTCAAAGTTGTCGTAGGCCCTATTCTATTTGGGGACCGGTAATTTCACTTATCTGCTTATCGTTGTTCACAGCGCTAAAATTATACTCCCATCCGTATTCCCCATCTTCGTTGGACCACCATGAAAACATACATAATCCCTTATTTTCCCGCACCCGCTTATCATAATTTTGCTAAGGATTTCCATCACAGTCAGTGAAAGTTCTTCGTCTTTTGTTCTCTGTTCACATCATGCGCGTGGTGAATGAGGATGGGCGGCCGGTGTACGCAGCACCAGCAAACGGAGAGATGGCCATTTGAAAGAATTGGCTCCTGCTTATGCCGCCGCCTGTAATACGAAACAGAAAATTAATTTCTGTTTCGTGTTACGGCTTCCCCTCAATTATGACCTTATCTTACTTCGTCACCCCTTTTACAAGTCCCTCCTCTGCTACAGCATTCACAAATATTCAGTCCTCTCTTCGTCAAGTTTTGAGTTTACAGGATCGTGGAGTGTAGATATCCGCGCATAGCGAACTGTAGCCATTTTGGCTCAAGGCATGGCGGAAAAGATAAAACTGATGCTGTTGAGAGAAATTGACGTTGGCGAGCGAGAGAGAGAAAGATGAGCACAATTTTGGTGGGCCCGACCGCTGTTGAGCGGATGGCCGTTTGCAGGCGCGCCGCTTTTCCTGTTGGCAGTCACTGGTCTTGCCTATAGCGCTCAAAGACCGCAGCGGAATGTCGAGCAACGACTACAGCAGACACTTTAGCAGAGGGGATGAGAATGCTGAAGGACTGAGAAGACGGCGAGTGGGGGCCATTGCGGCGATGCAACTAGAAGTCTTTTCATAACGACAGCAAGTTTTTAGTTTTTGCATTCTTACCATTTTTCACTCTTTCACTTTCGAGTTTATCGAGGCGTAAACTTTGAGTATATTAACTTGGCTCGATCATCCTTTATTATTTTATTCGTCATGTATTCAACATTTTACCGCTTATTCATCATTGCTTATTCTTCATTTATACATCATTTATTCGCTATTTATTCATCATTTATTCATCTTTTTTCATCATTTTTCATCGTTTATTTATCCTTTATTCCTCAACTATTGATCATTTATTCATTATTTGTTCATCATTTTTTCATCAAATTTTCATCCTTTATTTATCATTTTTCATCATTTATTTATCACCTCTTCATCGTTTATTCATCATCTTCTGTTGGGTTTTTTGTATTTCACTGAGAGAGACAGAGCGGCAATCTAGGAGTCATTTCCGCGCCGTGTTGTCGGTATAGCTGGCGTTGCTCTCTTGTAGTTTCATTCAGCGCCAAATAATATCTCATCGTCTTGTCGTAGTCTCACCCGCAGTTTTATCGTCGTTTTCAGTACTTCCCTAGTGTGCAACGCTGGGGTCTTCTTTTCAGTCAGCACAAAACTTCCACCGTATTGAATTCTGGAAGTTTGTGTGTGATTTGCCTTCTCCTCATCGCGCATGTACTCCGATGGCCTTGTGTTCTAGTTCTTGAAGAAGAAAGCAAAGTGTCGGGCTAGAAGGCGAGAAAAGTGAGATCTTGGAGTGATGAGGGAATGAGAAGAGCGATGAGGGGATGACAATGCGAGAAGAAAACAAATGTAGACGAGGATAGGAAGAGCTGAGAAGATGGCGCTACATCTCGGTTGAAAAGTAGAAACTTCGGTTGAGAAGCCAGACCTGCGGGCGCGGACGTCAGATCCACTCACAATCCTAAGCCTGTAGAAGAACCAACGAGAAGAAAGGAAAGTAGGAACTTGTGAACAGACAACATATACCGATCGTTTTCCGGTGCCTGCTTGCGGCTGGTGGCGGAGCAGTATCGCCATATATACCAAAGGCAGCACTTCCAAACTTTCTACATATTGCAAGGCAGTACTGTCGTAGTTGTGGTTTGGATTCTCAGAATCTAAATCTACGGTGCCCTCGGGCACAATCTAAATAATCTAAATTTGTCACAGAATCTAAGTCCCCTGCTGTTTGTGTTTAGAAGGGACACATAAGTGCTCACGTCCTTAAGAAGCGAGAACAAACACAAAAGGGCAGTTTAGGGTCCTTAATCTTATGGCCCTGGAGACTCTTACGGCCTTATGAGTTACGAATTACGGTGTAGCAAAGATCTACATCTTCTAAATTAGCGGATTTGTGGCAAAGATCCAAATCCAAAGAAGTGCTTGCATCTCGGTTGTTTGAAATCTAAATATTCTAAATTTTCTAAATTTCTAGTGGGTACTAAGGGGGGGCCTTGAAGAAAATCTTTATCTTGTCTCATCTCCCGGCTAGCGCTTGGATTTAGCAAAGGGGTAGATCTAAATAATCTACAATACGGAGCTACACGGTTAGACTTGGCAAAGACCCAAGTCAGAAGTTTCAGCGGTTGCTGTTGTTTTCGATTTAGCAAAGCTCTAAATCGAAGGCTGTAGCCTCCTCCTTGCGTTGCTGTTGAGCCGGGTAAAGACCAACACCCGCATGATCTACATTCCCCTTCTGTTGTAAAATCTAAATAATCTAAATTACGTCTCTAACGCGGTTCTCCTCGTGGAAAGTCAAAATATTCCAAATTTTATTGGATGATCGTACCCGATCAACGTTCTGTACTCATAGCGTGGATTTAGCAAAGTTCTAAATCCAACTTTGTGGCTGTATTTGTTACTGTAGTTGTTGCGATTTGGAACCTAGTGCCCCAAATCTAAATAATCTAAATTAAGTTTTGTGTTTAGGAGCACTAAAAGGTTGCCAAGGGGGCAAGAGGGCTTTGGGTTCAGTCTTAAAATCTAAATAATCTAAATCTGGCCTCCGTCGTGGAAATCTAAACTTTCTAAATTCTATTGGTCGTTCACCTGCTCCTTTGGATTTGGCAAAGTTCCAAATCCAAGTCTAAGCTAGATTTAGGAGCGCGGGGATTCTTGGGTCAAGAGGTGCTGCTGCATTCCTGTTGTGGTCACGAGGCCTTCTAGTTTTAGTGCTGTGTTTAGAAGCACTAAAAGATCCGGCGCTACTCAAATAGGACAGGCAACCACAACACTCGGGTTTAGAAAGAAAGAATCTAAACCCTATAACTGTGGGGTCGAGGTCTTCGGTCGAGTTCTAAACAGAAACCTTTGGCTTTCTTGTATATTATCTTGTGCCTTCGAGTACTAGAAAATCCTAAGTAATCTATATCAGCTAGTAGTAGTGGGCTTGGCAAAGATCCAGCCACTACCTGGAGGTCGTTTCGACTTTTAAAGTGTTAAGGAGCAGTCTGTTATGGCCTAGCTAAGCGGACACGGTGGTCTACGGTGCATCCGGTGCACGGTGGTATACGGTGGGCATCCGGTACCCGGTGGGCATACGGTAGGCGCAATACGGTAGAGGTACTCCCATCGTCGAGGTTCTCCTACTAAGTATTCACTTGGCAACAGAGTACTCCCCGTTTTTGCGACTTTCAACAAACTTGCAACAATAATCTAAATAATCTAAATCCACCTTTAGTCTTTTCTTTCGGTAAATAATTACAGCCCATCTTGCAGTAGGTCATCTGTAGAAATTTCCTTCACTCATTCAGTAAGGCTCTCACTACAGTTTCTAAACTTTCTAAATTCTAAACTTTCTAAAGCCCTCGGGCGGTTTAGAAGTGGTTTAGAATTTCCGCGTCCTAGTTGTAGGATCGCAAAGTGATAATGCCGCTGGACTACAGCAAGTTCCCAACGACCCGACCCAGCCGGGGCGACGCCCCGAAAGAGCCGCGACG